TACATAGCAAGAGAGGTCGTTGGCAAAAACAAAAGCCAGACAGAATACAGCAGGTATAAACCCAATCTACCTCGTACAGTGTTCGGACTCTGGAATCGGAAGCACGAATCTGTCATGTAACTCGTTACAACCGTTCCCTTTTCATCCGTACACAATTGTAACTAAGTGACGAGCATAGTGTGTCATGTGTCCGAGAACTGTGTTAATGTGCGATTGAGTACACCTCCAGTTTAATTGTTTGTTCACAAACAATAATACTTGACTAACTTCCATCACATATAATTAAGTTAACGTAATTTAACTTCTAAAGTAAGATGTAAAATATTGATACCCTCGAATGTGTTCACATTAAAGCCCCATCAATTATAAATGCACGGTTCACAATAAATGTTTCGGATTAAGGGATTTCCTGATTAGAAAAGTTTTACTGTAATGGCTTTAGTGGTGTGTTGTTATTCATGGGCTAGATTATAAGGTAGTATCTACACAATAACGAAAATATGTTTCATGAATATGATTTCATATAATAGAATTGTGTGTTTACGTCATAGTTTACGTCATTGAACATTGAAACAACTGCCAGTACAGTTCATTGTTTCGATATAATATCGCTAACTTAAAATATTTCAATTGAGAATCAAACATGATAAAATCAACTGGAGGTATAGGTTCTTTCGTCCCTCATTTTAAACGCGTTATTTCAAATAATAATTTCACGTCAGAATGTAGACGGTTGTAGCCAAATCTTTACATGCTTTGTATCGTACACCGGTATTGACACGCGATTACATTATACAAAGAGTCTGGCGATACGGATGTCTCTTCAGACAGAAAATGGCTGTCATTAAACTCAGATGATGAACCACTACCGCTTCAATGCCGGCACCCCTCGACTTAGTATCTGTGAACATACGCTAGCATCTATAACAGGATGACGGATCAGATCCCCTCAAATGAGCAACAGGCCTGTCAGTTGTAGCGCGTGAAACGTGCTATGACAGCTTGTGATTTGATTGATGGTGATATGAACAACCCGAGATCCGTGTAAATAGCAATGTCATATGATGCATCATCAGCTGCAGGGGGGCCGGATTTATGACATCATCAGTCTCAGCTACATAACGGCTGTTGACGTATGACGGAGTAGAATGTTAAGGTGAGAAAAGACTGTTCTCTGTTTCGTCGTTTCAATCCATTTATGAACAAAATCTGTATCGAGAAAAAATATGATATTTCGTCTTAGGTTTTGGATATTGACGACAGACACATTTCAGAGATTCTAAATGTTGACTAATTTTGATCCACATTCGGATAAGCAATTGACAATCAGGTGCTTTGTGTTTCTGACGGTCAGTGTAAGGAAGGATTTGGCCATTTTTGCATACAGCTGGAATATTGTTGAGTGAGGCGCTAAACAAAGGAATAAACACCACAGAAAACCAGAGGACAAACGCAATCTATTATCAGAATAGGAAACGGCGTGCAAACGAAATCACGTGGGATGTAAAATATATGTCGAGTAAGAACACCTGGGAACCTAAACAGTAATGAGTATCGAACATCCGTGTGACCCTCGCCGTCTGGACGCCATGGACGCCATGCCAGTCAACGCGTCATGTCGCTAAATGCCAATACCCCTCAACCTGTTACCGTCATTAGCAGTGAGGGAAAGGTGGTTTTATCGCCTGAGGTGCCGGAATTCGCTATGTAGAGTTGCGCCCCTTAGACGTACGAGGAACCTGTTTTTTCGAATCTCAGATACACCCTGATTATATATGTAGTTTTGTCTTCAGCACACCTTACCTCGTGGGTTTTGTCACCAAAGTGGTCAACGTCTGGGACCTGCACCGGGCGTCGTCCCACAGTAATCAGACACACCGTGATATAACTGAAATACTGTTCAATGCGGCGTTAAACTCACTCAATAGTTGTGCTGAGTTTTTCTTGAACCCAGGACAAGATGAACTGAGGGTAGTTGGTTGTGTCATTAATCTGCTGCCATCACAACACGGTTGCTTCAGTAGTGGCCATATTGGGATCGCATCATAAAATAGGTGAGGTGAGGTGAGGCGAGGGGAGGTGAGGTGAGCTGAGCTGAGAGGAAATGGGGTTTAACTATCAAGACTATTGTTCGTATAGAGCGACGTACGTGCACGTGTGTGTGTGCGTTTGTGTGGCTGCTTGTACTAGTCCTTACTGATGCCGGTTTCACTTTTTGTGGAAGCCCATGTCGCGGTTTTTAACTCTCACACTCTCACTCGTTTTTATTACGTCGAGAAGGGTACCTTCCGTTACCATATTTTCGTTTGAGGCGGCCAGGGATCGAACCGCTCTGGGGTAGACGCTCTACCCGCTCGACCACGGAGATCACCATGTAACCCCACAACTTACAATACATGCAAACGTCGCAAGAAGGCTAGTGAGTTACACTGTAACGTCATATCGGCAACACTACCGCCATGTATAGCTTCGAGTTAAATACATGATTGCCATCTACGCATCAGAGTATATTACACCATTGTGTCGAACATAATCTGGCGTCGTTTACTATCCTCTACATAATGTACTTTTAAGGCAGTTTACAGACATATTGTGGGCACTTGTATGAGGTGAGAGTCACATGTACCTGTCGGGTCAATTACTGGTACAAGGAATTCGGTTAAGTCGAAAGGTCCGCGACATCAAAAAGAGAATGGTAATCAATGCTATATGATTGACGGGATTTGTATGCAGCAACCTGGCTTTGAGGGCCACTCCCAGTTGATTGTTTTCGTAAACAAATTGGACATATGTTTTCTTGTCAGAGCCGAAAGTTGTATTCTTTTCACAACTTGTTAGATAAATGCTATAATGGGAACTAATACATGTTTTATTCAACAAACTTTGACGATTTCCGATTCAGGGCGAACAGTTAGTCTATTCAATGTGAGCTGTGTGCTTGCTTATGTTGAGAGTCGGTACCGAGTTTGATTCCCAATGGGGAAGTAAATCACTTTTTTCCCTTTACATAGTCACTATCGCGTACTGGTTGCAACACGAGAAAGAAATCAAACTCATAAGTTCAATCATTGCACGTATCTATGACAACTCGCCGTTCATTCAATGAAACTGCGCATTCGTCCCCTTTTCGCGTCCATCAAATCTCATATAAGTCATATTAAATATTTTACGAGCGCTTCCAGTAATGCGGAATGTGGCTCCTGAGCCGGCAGGGTAGCCTTAACAATTTCATTAAAATCAGATCTTAGTTCTCGCTATCGCTAAACAAAGATCTGCGGACATCCCATTATGGGTCACGTCAGAACGACCTTTCATCCGACCAATCAGAGCGTCTCTTATCAGATCATGAAAGTGACAGTCGGAATGTATTTTCTAATCATGCAACCCCGGAAACGTTAACACGGGGTATTCCGAACGACAGTTACAGTACGTAGGAAGCATACACACTCAACCATATATTAGACATTCCGGAATGTTCGTTTGTTCAGTTCTAAAAAATATTAATCGTGAACTGTGTCAATATATTTTTCAAGCGTAGACAGAAATGGAAGTCACCAGGATGAAACGAGTGCCGTAAAGCTCGGGAAAGCTGTTTCTAATTGGCTGATGTCGACTTCTTGTTAGTCATTTCAGTCGTCGGTCAAAGTTCTCGAAGGGCCGTCCTGGCGTGACCAGTAATGGGACGTCCTCAAATCTTTGTTAGGCGGCAGTGAGAACTAAGATCTGATGTTAATGAGATTGGGTAGCCTAACTGATACAATGTTCGCTTGTAAAACAGAGGACCTGTGTTCGAATCCTCGCAGGGGTATATTATGTGATGACCATTATAACTTCCGTTATGCCATCAATATATTTACTAAACAGAGCTGACACTCCGTTTATTCCACGCCGTCTGTAAACTGAGTGAGCGTTATTTTACGCCGCAATAGGCAATATTCAAGCAACATCAGGGCGGTAAATAATCGATGGTCGCCTATACAAACCAGTGACTGGCAACAGAGGGAAACGATCTACACATCAATGTACAACGACGCGCAATAAGCCTCGTCACCGAATCTGACCAATCGACAAGGACGACGGTGGTGGGGACACAACCTACTGCTACAAACAGGTCCACGTGGTACCCGTGGTACAGATTAGCTGGTAATTAAACATTTCCAAGTAGAGGAAGTATTTTGCTAGGATAAAATCATCGACGTTATATGAGCTGTGACACAAAGAACTTTTGTCCGTTATATATGCAGAGCCGTATTTCGTCAATATGGTATGTGTGTTTTTATTACATGGGAGATCAGTCAATGTTGATTCTACGAGAGCCGTCACAGCTGATATCCAGTATCCGTCTGTGCCGTGCGTGTCAGCTATACACTTCCATCACACTTGGTATCTAACATGATCTACGTATCATGTTTTGCACGAATTTGTTCAACCAGACTTTATTTAGATCTTAATAATTATATATCCTTCTTTTGTTTTCCCAAGCAGACCTTTGATACTGAATATTGCTTGGAAGCATTCTATACCGTCAGTGAAATGATGGATTTAGTACCAACGTTTATGGATTTCTGAGCTGCTTCGAGGATAATTAATGTTGGACAAAAACAATATATAATTATAATGTTAGAAATCTGTACTTGATGGACCAATGTATCAAGAAACAGCAATGTAATGAAACTGTTCTTGTCTTTTGTGAACTCAGAAGTTTTTGATAGGCATTTAGAAGTTGGGAGAACATGAATACATGACACTTGTTCATGGATAGCAACTTATTTTATTCTTTAAGCTACTTCTAGCTCCTTCATCAGGTTTATGAATCTTTAATTCAAATATAACCATACAATCCTTAAAAGTTGCGAAATTTTAAATGCATGATTTACATTGTTATGTTAGAACAACAATTACAAATTTTATATATATAACGAAATTTACAATAAGAATTCATGTATATTAAGACGATTCTATATTTCCAGGGCTTCCATTTCGCCGCTGAGGCGGAATCATTTCAAGCGGAACAAAAGTCTGGTCACTGCGCCACTGCGAAAAATATTCATGGATATCTCGGGATGTGTCGGGATTACACTCCAAGTGGTTTATTAGAGCGCTTCTCTGCTGGCTGTTTTGATTGCATTTCACGGCGCGAGAGGAACACTTGATTGACAGCTAATGACAAGCTTATAACCACTCAGGGATCGTTTTGATTGGCTGTGCGAGGCTTGCCGCAGGACAGAAGCATATACATTGATGTTTTACGCATGTTCAGTGACGAGTGAGAGACTGTGAATAAGATCTCATTGTCCAGTGCCTTAGGGTTATTCTGTAACAGGGGATGAGAGCACGAGGCAGCTATTGACACCGCGTGATTGAAGTACCGTACATATCTTCACGACACACGTGGACAAAGTGTCAACGCGATTCAATCTTGCTGGATACATTGGAAAAACGCTGGGAATGTTTTGCAGTCAGAATAACTCTCAAGTTTTAAATGAGGAAATGTCAAGTTTGAAAGTTCAACTGACATTTTTTAAAACATGTTTAATAACTCCATGAAACACGCATACGAGTAAGCGTTGACACGTGGATTAAAAGGTGTATTAATAGCGCGAACATTATAATTTCTGGAAATGATTTCAAAATTGTTCTCATTATCAAAATTGATCTAGTTCTTATCACTGTTCATATCCATAACTGTCGGTGTTAAATATAATGGATGGTATATACATTTCTTTAAAAACATCCATTCATGCAAAGCCCGAGACTTGCGTCATCGGAGTGAACATTTCAGTCGCAGTTCTATGCTAATACGGAGACCCCATTCACAGAATCGGACCTCTGAGAAAAGGAGTTTTGCAATCTTATCCTGTTGTGTTGGAGCTGAGAAAACATTTTCCAGCCCCTACTCCCTGATCAAGAAATACTGTTCCGTTTTCCATATTTTATGACGCTACCATCACTACACCCATGACCCAGAGCGACGGTTTCAAAGAAGATATCCAGTCACATTATCAACGTTCAAAGACACTGCGCCGGGACAAAGTGTTAGTTTCCAATCACTGGACAATTTATTACTCCAAGTGAATAATTTGTCTGTGTTCGCTTTTTCTGCCTTCGTATATTTCCCCCAGGAAATGCCACTCAGCTTGGAGAATATTGGAAATATCATACCACCATGTCTTCAGCGGAATATTAGTGTTTGCATTCGAAGCCAATATACAGCATGAACCCTGCGGGATGCACGTATTTCACTTAGAGGTTTTCATATTAAGATACATTTAGAAAAGTGTATTCGTGCAATAGTACATTTTGATCAATAACCTCTGTATGTAAATACCAGATTTTGCACTTGTCAGGGAAAAACTGTTACTGGAAGTGTTCACCACCAATCACGACGTCGTGCGGGGACCGTGCACTATTTATAAAGCTGACAACTGATGCCACGATTCGTAAAACTGTGTCTTGGGATATTTTTCAAAATATTAAAATCTTTAAAAGCGCATACATTCTAGTATTGTGCCAGTATTGTGCCAGCTATTTACAAATGTATACCTGGATCTTGAAGAATGGTTATAGTGTCAACTTTGGATTTTAATGGTTAGTTTGAAACTGGAAATAGATGCTAAGGATTTGAATTTCAAATAGCTCCATTATAAGGTCGGAATCCCTGTACCAACTGGGCGCGCACTTCAGATAGGGGATTATAGGATCAAGACGGAACCCAGTGACACGGGATTCTTATCACATTGGATTCATTTTGTAGACATGCCGTCTCCGATCAACGTTGGAGTGATTCTATATGACTGTGATATAAGCATATATCTATTCCTGTTTCTAACTTCGTCACCGTGTTAAGAAAACAAGAATTCTCAATTCTTACTTCGTCATGAGAACTAATATAGACAACATTTTGATATACTGAAATTACTTTCCCTGTCTGTTGACAGGTATATCCTCGTGTAAACGGACGCCGAGATCTCTCGGAAGCGTGATTCACGGATGAACGTGTTCTTGTTCAAATATTCAACCACGATCTTGGAGCTGTGGTAAGCCGTGTGCTTTTGCGAGGCTGTCTTGAAAAGGTAGACGAATCTTTAACAAGCTGGAACCATCGGCATGATATATGTGATCGTTCTTTATAGAATGTGCAACTCTACAAGAGCCTATGTGGTAATCTAATACAAAGAATCACATTGCATCTGAACCGTGTATAAAATACCGACCCTGTTCCAACACTGTGTTCTTCTGATTGGATGCACTGATTATTACTGCTATGTGTGAATATATTCTGTGGATTAAAATCATTCTTGTGTTATACTAAATACCACAAAGTCACGTGGTGCCCTGAACGTGAAGTATCCATTGTTAGTTTCTGGAACATATTCGGATACTACAGGGTCCTTTTTCAAAATCACCATGGATGTACATTTGGTTGTGATCGCGTTCATGGTTTATTTATTTCACTTTTTGGCTTACGTTGATGGGACAAAGACGCTTAACATTGCGTGCCTGTTGCCTGCTGATGACAAAAGATTGTTTTCAATATCACGAGTTGCTCCAGCGTTAGAAATTGTCGTCAACAGCGAACTTATAAAACACCAAGTTCTACCATTTCATAAGATAGGCATCAGTTATGCTGACTCCCAGTGCTCAATTTCCCATGGAATGAACGAAGCTATCAACGTGTTCGTTGATGGCCACGTGGATGTATATTTTGGCCCATGTTGTGATTACGCGGCCGCTCCCGTTGCTAGGCAACTACGATACTGGAACATCCCCATGGTAACCGCAGGGGCAATGGCGCGAGATTTCGCCCTATCCAAACTGTTTCAGTTTCCATTGATGACGCGAGTTGGGCCAAATTTTAACTCACTGGTCAGTTTCATCATTTCAATTTTACAAAAGTTTGACTGGAGCAGGGTCAAGCTGGTGTATGACCCTTTAGGTCAAGCTCACGTGGTGGACAAATTCTGTCACATAGCAACAGACGGTGTCCACTACGGACTTCGGATGCAGAAGGTCATCAAAGACTTCAAGCAAGAATACTTCAAGTTTGATTCAATCAAGGACATTTTGAACAAAATGGCGGTAGAGGTCGGCAATGAGTTTTCAAGTAAGTTGTGTTGTTGCTACAAAGGCTTTCAGACATTGTTTACCTTTGCTTATGTAGGTATTCGGGCTGAACGCAACATTTGAAATATCGTGCACACATTCGACAGATAATGTAAAAGTTTTTCAACACAGTAATCTTCATTATACTCTTACAATATGCCCCATTTGTTCTATGTGATGTATACCCTGGACACAGAGCTCTCGTCTGGAAGTGATGTCTCATCTCTGTCTTCTTATCGGTACTCTCCGTCGAAAAAATGTTTATTTTGATTTGTCGGCTTTTTATAGCGTCATATTTTCCAAACTATATCGATGGAAGCAAATTGGTCTAGTGCTACATATTGCACCGGATACTCGAGATGGAACACGATAGATTTATACTGGTTATATAATAACAAGAACCCACATTTTCTCGGTGATCTGACACCACTGGTCAAGCCAACCTTGCTTTGGCCAGTCATGGAGATGAGAGACTTCCAATTAAACGTCAGTGTTGAACAGTTACCCCATGAAGCAAAACATTTTACATACGAGTATTATATATCCATATAAGTTGTTTACTTGTGTGTTCTGCAGCTGATTGTAATTACGTGTGTTGCCAGTGTAGTGGCGGTGTTTCTTTCTTTGTCAAACAGTCTGGAATGACGTGCCCATATTCACAAGGGACGTAACTGTAAGCTGGAAATGCCCCACTCGTAGTTGAGGCAACGTACTTTGGACAACTCTGCCACATCACTCTTCGAGTTGACAGATGATCAGTAGAGCTACATGTCGCCTTAAGATAAAAACATTAGTTCCCATGTTGATATACAGCAGAGAAATGTCAGCGCCGCTTATATTTCAATACAATATGGACATATTCTGAAATCACATCCTGCATTTACTTTTGGACGAAACCCATTTTGTATCGTTTACAAAGTAGCCCTACTAAATACGCGAAACGTCATCGATTATGTAATGACGTGCTTTATAACTGTTCAACAATAATATGTCTTTGACAACCCTTCTAACCGTTTTCTCTCCATCCCTGGGTTAGTTGAGGTGACTCAGTACTCGTCCATCTGTGACAACCTTGTCGTAATTAAGGGGCGACTAACGGGATCGGGTGGACAGGCTCCCTGACTTGGTTGATACATGTCATCGTGTTCTAATTGCATAGATCGCTGCTAATGATGTCAATCACTGGATATATTATTATTATTATTATTATTATTTACAGATTAAAATAATAAATGCAGCAAAGAGGGTTAGGGTGATCCTGGTTAGGCTCATCATCAGCTCAGGGCCCTTACCCCCTCTACACGCGGCCCAGACAGCGAATGGGACTTCTCCCAGGAAGCGTTGCCTTGTCAAACCCACCCAGAACCTTTCGGAGAATGTGAAGGCTCCCCAACGCTGCAGCCTTCTGCATTACCCAGATAGTCAGAAGGGCCGTATTCCAGGTAGCAAACCCTCCCCCAATGTCAGCCAACAGATTGGGAGTTACCAAACCTAAGGCGCCGAGAACAATGGGAGTCGGACAACTTGGTACTTGGGATGCAAGCGTGACATTTCGAAAGCGAGGTCCGCATATTTGCCATGTTTTTTTCTCAATCTTGTCAATCACATTTGTGTCAAAGGGGACAGAAAATTCAATGATATAAATGATTTCATTGGATTTATCAAAAAGGACAAGATTAGGTTTGTTGGCCTGGATACGTCTTAGGCTGTAAACGGGCCTATTCCAAAGAATTTTGTATTTATTATTTTCCATGACGCCCTCTACATATTCCGGGTCGTACCATGGGTGAACCTCTGTGTCAAAACCACAAGCATGATGAAGGCGGTAATAAAATGATCGAGCTACACCATCATGTCGTTTAAGATACTGTGTTTGTGCCAAAGCTGGGCAGCCACTGATAATTAGTTGGACTGTCTCATTATATTCATTACACAATCTACATTTCATATTTACATTTTGATGCAAAATCACACATTGACGGTTTCGAGTGGGAAGTGACTGGTCCTGGGCAGCAAACAGAAAGCCTTCTGTTTCACATTCCAGGCCGGACGACTTCATCCAAGCGAAGGACTCTGCAGGGTTGTTGATCTTCTCAACACACTGGACATAAAGCCGATTCATTGGTCGTTCAGATAGCTTCTCCTAGAGGCCTGGCACTTCGCTTGGTTGACACTCATTTCTGTACCGTCCAGCACTACAGGACCATCAACAACATCAGCACCGACATTGAGATAATGTCCCACATCCTTGGCTCGTTTTAGAAAACAGTGGAATGCCTTGTTTTCATCATGAGTCTTGACATGCTTCACACGAGGATCATCAGACAAATAAATGTGTAAATGTGCACAAAACAATTATAACATGAAGAGCCTGCACATTAGTCAAACCACGTCCCCCCATTATTATTATTATACATTTAAACCGTACTTATTCTGTTACTAGTATCTGTTCAAATGCGGTTTATTTGTCCCCGACCAATGGATCTGTTTTCATTCGTTTTCATTCTCAACTCCCTGGGGAGTATACAACCCAAGCTGCTTACGCGCGCTTGGGTGTTTCTTTACATCCACCTCACATATCGGGTACCCATTCCCTGCTGGGTGAACAGAGGCACATTTGAACCAAGTCACTTGCCCAGGATGACACTACACGTTTGACACTTGTGTTTCGGGCGGATGTGTGTATTCGTGTTTCCACCATCTGGTCATCTAACAACGTATGAGTGGGTTCTTGTGTGTGCACATGGTGTGTGTTCTGTACGCTAGGTCCGTGACGACACTGTTGGTCCATAGGCTGAATAAGAACCTGGTCACTAACGGGACACGATCGCAGCACCTGGTGAAGGAAAAAGTCATTAGTACCCACGTGGTGATGATACGGGTGGTAGGATACTAAATCCGTACGTCCCACGTGTGTCGTACAAGTTTGACCTCGTTTTCATTGGATAACCCTGACCTCTGTCACACCGGAACTACTTTTTCTCATTCACTTTTACAAATGCAAGGCTAAGCTGAAGTAATCTCATGAAAGCGAGAGACATTTACACAGACTTTATTAACCCAAACAAGCATCAAAAACAAGTCACACGAATCAAATTCGCTTTGCATTCTATATTAGTTATGCATAGTGCTATTACAGACGTGTATATATATAATCGAGCTATATCCATTTGCAATGTACGACTAGATCTACCGAGAGATCGAGTGTCCATATGACGCGACTTTAAATTTGATTTAATGTTAATGGTTATGCGTGGTGGAATGAAGTCAGTTTTAACTACCTGGACAGATATCTAGACTTACGTGTGATGCTCCGGTTGTGCCATCAGCTCATCGAAGCATATTTGGTATTTTTGCTTCCGAAGGTGTTTGTTTATGAAAGAACTACACGACTGAACGACCAGATCACTCAAAGTGAACAGTTCAAATACAAATCATTCGAAAATTCCGTGGAAGTGTGTCTGACTTCTGTTTCTGTGGCCCCAAACATCCCAAAGGTGAACAATAACATTCCCTTTTGACCTCTAACGTAAAACGCTGTGAGGACATCACGGTTGTCTTTTCTTATTCCGATGGTGACCTTGCCCATCGTTCGAAGTTGTCACTGACATGCAAGCAGGTTGGAGTTTGTTTATTTCCCCTTCTTAAGTATAGAGCCGTACAGTTAACATAAACGTGTTGGGCGAGCACTCTGATTTCCCTCTTCCAAAATGGTACGGAGAGGATATAAATTCAGTTGATAAATCAGTCCGAGGTTCAAAGCGCGGCGCTCATTAACTTTTAATTTTTTCTGACAGTTGTCCTGCGTACTAACATCTATGCGCTTGAATTACCATAAGTTGAAAGAATTCTAAAATAAGATCTTGAGCGTTGATGCTGTCATGTTTACACACACAACAGCAGGAACATGTTGTTAACGCGTTTGCATAGAAATGACAACAATGCCCATATTTGGGCATATGCCCAACCAGATTTACAACCGGGTTCAGTTTCGTATGTTAACGAACGCAAGTTGTTATGTCTTTACACTTAAATATATATTTAACGTAGGTAATAAATAAAATACCACACTCATTCTAGCTCGGTCAGATACATGTACCATAGAAAGTCCACTCGTTTCGTAAAAAATGGCATCTAACGAGAATGAGTGTATTATTCCATATATGTACCTATATATTCCACTAAATATGCTTTCATGTTATTATGTTTATTAAGATTGACGTTTCTATAGTATTGAACAGCGAACAAGGAGAGCTATTGATTCTTTTGGTCAACGTAATCAATAAATATACCAGTATCGCTGATATAGTATGGCGTTTGTGAATTAAAATTAAAATCTCCGTCACAATGAAGAGCACTCTCAAACATTGCGTTCGATTAACGTGCATTTTAAATGTTTTGTTTTTCCTTCAGTTAGGACTGGGGGTTCTCGACAATACTTATTGTCTTCATTGCCTGATACTGAACAACGGGAATGACGCACGAGACCTTCAAGAGTTACCTCCCTTGGATACTAACATTGTCCAAAGGATGAATGTTATTTGAGAGCCGCGTGTTGAGTCCGATTATCATGTCGATTGTCTGGATGAAGTGAGTGAGTGAGTTGGGTTTAACGCCGCTTTTAACATTATTCCAGTTATATCACGGCGTGTCAGCTTAATGTGGGAGGAAAGCCCGAAGTAATGCAGGTCAAAGACGTTTACCACTTCGGTGAAACCCACGATCACGGGTATGGTGCTGACAAACCTAGAAACATAATTGGGGCGAACCGGGATTCGAAACCACAATCATAGGTTTCTGGCGTGCCCAAGGAACGCAACTCTGCACAGCGAATCGCGGCGCCTTAGACGACTGGGCCACCCGTGCCCCCTGTCTGGATGAAAGTTACTGGTCCGTGTTGACTATAAAGTACTTTATCGGCATTACGACAGGTAGTCCTACTGAGTTGCTAGACGATGTGTACTTGATAGCTGTGGGCCGTAAAACCAGGCGGCTGTTTCA